GAAGCAAACCTAGCATCTTGCATACCCAAGCATGCGAATGGCCTAGCTAAAAGGCCCGATGTGCACGAGGCACGCTTGGCTCGTTAAGCAAGTGTGTGCATGAGAGCTAACGTCGAACATTAACCTAGCATGCATCCACTAATTTCTTAGTCCAAAATCAATTTTTAATAATTATAAAATAGCAAAAATATTAGATTTATAATTAGAAATAGACAATTCATGTAGTTAATCATAATTAGTAAAGCAAACAATTAAAGATTCAACGGAGGCTCGATACTAATCGAAGGATCATGCATCCTATGAAGGTGCAAAATAAAACAAAAAAATTTCTCCATCTAAGGATCTTAAGATCAAGCCATTGAATTAACTTATCATATAAACATGAATTAAAAGCGAGGAGTAAAAGATTACCTCTTGTAGCGTAAATTTAGCCCTTATAGATAAAGGAGTCGTCTAACCGTTCAACCTCTATTGATAATCTACGTAGCTTAAACACCCACAAAAGAAGCCACAAAAATCACAGAGTTTTAGCTCCAATCCTTTTGTATAGTTAATCTTTTTTCTAAAGAAATCAATTAGGGTTCTTTGTGATAACTCGAGCTTTTAAAAAGGGATACGACAACTTTAGCTTTTAGGAAAAAAACACTTTCTCTCTTTTTCTTTCTCTTTTTGCTATGTGTGTGTAGGGGTAATCTTTCCCTTTTTATCGCCTCTCTTCCTATTATTCATATGGGGGTGGCATCATTGTCCTCGTAGGACAATGAGTTACAACATGGGTGGGGTTGTTTGATCTTATCTTTGTAAATCCCGAGCCTTATCCAATAAGGCTCAAGTTTATCCTTCCACCAAAATATCTTACATGCTTTTAAATTAAGCCTATTGGAATATCTTATAGGCCTATTGTAATATCTTATAGGCTTTTAAATTAAGCTTATTGGGTCGGATATTTTTAGGAAGTCCATATTAGGAAACAATTTTCTAAATTATCCTTAAACCTAAATTAGAAGACTAATTTTCTTTTTAGGTTGCTTACTTCCAAATTTAGAACCGACTTCCAAACTAAGAAACCGACTTCTAAAATAGGAAAATTTTTATTTTTGAAAACTTTTTTCAAAATAGAAAACTTTTCATTTTCGAAAACCTTTTCTAAGATAGGAAACTTTCCAAAACTCGGAAACCTTTTCCAAAAACTTTTCTTATCTTTTATTATGTGAATGCTTAAGGTTATGTGTGTGACTCAATAGGTTTCTAGATATATTGACAATGTATTTAAAATAAAATATACCTCTTTTATTTTTTGATGCATAAATTAAGATTGGCTTCTAGTAAGACATCATGACTATCTAATTCTCTATGAGTATTAATTAATCCATAATTAGCTTTCATGAGTACGATCATCATATAATTCGAGTCCTTATGTTAATTTATCACGGTGTGATCTTGAACTTGGTTTATAGTCTATTCGATTATGATCACATAAATTTTCTTCGATTCTCAAATGTCTTAGCTTTAGAGTAAACCAACTATGCTCTATTAGTATACTCCTACTTTGGTCACATATTTCTTGAGTAGACATTTATCAAAGTGCAATGTAATAACTTCTTTAGCATACAAGGAATGACATATCCTATCTTAGTCATCCTCCTTCCTCTATTAGATTTCTAGTACACCTAACGAACCGTTCATGTGCAGACTCTTGATCGAGCCTATCAAAACGAGTGTCAAAGTACATAAATTCTCTAATGATATAACTATGATCACTTGAAGTTAAAGGATCGGTTGTACCCATCTCGTATAAGATTCCTATAAACTAAACCAAATGGGTTCTCATGATGAGTCATGTCTAGTGATATGTTCTTTAACATTAATTACCTAAGTACTTACTTTGGCATCCTCATGTCAATTGGTGTGAGTTCTTCTACTACTATCTTATAGCATAAGTATAGCATTCACAAATTTTACTACATATAGTCATTGTCCATTCTTGACAATGCTAGGAATTGAGACGTTTAACGATATCATTTAAATGCACTAATGTTTGTCTAAAATCTTTCGATCAATCATTAATGCAATGCATGTCATATGGATTTTTATCTAATTCTATCACATTATAAATGAAAAGAATTAGTAAAAAAAACTTTTTTTATTAATAAAATAAAGAGTGCAATATTATATTAATTCAAATCATCCAAACAAGGTTGAATTTTATATACCTAGACTAATAGCTAGAAGTAATTTTTCGAAGGCCCACACGGGATTGCTTCTATAGCCTAAAAGCATAGGCTTGGGCCTTAGGCTTGCTTCGCAACCCAAATGTACATGCTTGCATCTTGGGCTAGCTTTAGGGTTTTTTTTTTTTTAAAGCAATTTAGGCTTATTATTATTCTTATTATTATTAAATTGAGTGTAAAAATTATGGAAATATATATATATTACACATACTAACAATTATGAAATATATATGATGTTTTTTTTTTTTTAATTTTATAATATATATATA